TTGGTTATTTAATAGCCGCTGTCTATTCAGGGCCTTTGAAAGGTGCTCTTGCTGCTTTTGGCTGTGGACTGTGGTGATTAATATGAATTCTTTGTGCAGAGGGGTTTCTTCTGTGTGAAGAAACCAGAGGCGAGTGCCGGTTTTTGCTAGGCGCAAGCTGTAAAGCCGAAGCCTGCTTTGATCCAGGCAGACACGCCAGTCCCCAGGGGAACTCTGTAGTGTGCAAAGTTCACAGGCTGGAGAGCTAAATTCTATAGATTTCACCAAGCAGACAAACCCTCTGCCTTTAATAAGAGTTCTGGCCCTGCTGCCTCTCTGCGTAGCCGTTGTGTCAGCTGCCAGCTTTGAAGCCTGGTTGGCGTCGCGAGCGCGGTGCTCTCACCAGTAAGTTCAGCAGCTGAAAGCAGAGGTCTGCAGGTGCTGGAGCGGGATACGGGCAGCAGGGTTTCAGCTGCGTGGTAAGGTGTTTGTTTTCTCCTGGCCTGGAGTGGAAACTCAGTCCTGGGAGGAAGCAGGAGGGGAGGAGAGGACTGGCAGGGACTGCAATGCACCAACCCAGCACCCGGTTAACCTCCAAACTCTGTGTGGGAGCCTCTCTGGGCTGGATCTTGCCTAACTGACTGAGACCCAGGGCTATGACCTTCTTATGTTTTGGTAGTCTTTCTTTTATCAATAAAAATCACTTTGAGTTGAGACACTTGTTCAACTTCCCTATTCCCTGAAAGCTGGCCTGTGAGATCCTGGCCCAAAATGAAAAGGGAATGTGCAGGTGGCAGAGAGAGGGGGGCCACCGTGCTTGCTCCACATCAACTCCTGGCCCCTTTGAACACCAGCAGAACATGACTGGCTCCCTCCTCGTCACCTGTAAGAGGACATGGAGCCTGCCAGGCAGTCCCAGCCTGCAGCAGTGGAAGAATTGGTTCCTCAGCACCCTCTAAAGCTCTCATGTAACTCTGCCTTGTCCTCAGTTCACTGCAAATTGCCATGCATCATGCAAAGCTGTTACTAAAGAAAGAAGACTCTTATTTTGTCCACAGGCTCTTCAAAGCGCAGACTGTCTCTCAGCCATTACTAGTCAAAAATGGTACCTTGGGGCAACATTGCTACATGCTACATGCATCCTGCTTTCCTCTGAGGTCTGGACAGTGCTCTGCGTAACTCTGAGGCAAGCTGGCTAGGATCCTCGCATGATGCTTCTCAGTCAGGGGTCCCAGCGCGCTTGTGGTAAGAGCAACCGTCTTTTGACTGTCCGAGGCAGCCCCAGTGCCAGGTGGAGCTGAGCGTGAGGAACACAGCAATGAAGAAGTCTGCACGAGTTGGGACTGGTGCCTTGCTGAGAACTTCCCCAGGCGCTGATCAGGGATGAGCGAGCAGGGGAAACACCCTCACACATCCGTGTTGCATCTCCAGTGAGCATGTAGCAACAGAAGTTTAACTCTGCTTAGCCAGAGGTTCCTGAACACTAGCATGCCACGGGTGGCTTGGAAGCTGCTTAAGGTCTACAGGTGCCTGGTAGCAAGTCTGGACTGTGTACAGGGAGAAGCCTGCATGAGCCACAGGCTGAGTTTCTCTATGCAGGCAGCAAGTGCTTCTCAGCTGATGGTAGAGGAATGAGACTGGGGAGTAATCTTAGTTTGTTTCCTATTCTCTCAAAAATCACTGTGATGTAGTCACAGTGCTTCTCATCTGCCGTTTTTCTGCTACACAGCTGGTTTTGGGGGGTGGAAAGGTTTGACATGGGGGAGGAAGGAGCCAATGAGAGTGTAAGCTTTGCTTTGTGGGAGTAAAGGTCTGTCAAAGAGCTTACAGGAGGAGATGGGCTGCATGAATCCTGAGGACAGAGCTGGGGGACAGTGCTGCAGTCAGCAGTGCAGTACCTTGTGTTGCTGGTGATTCTCATGCTGTCAGGGGTACCTGAGCAAACAAACAGGTTTAAAAAAATGTGATGGGGGATTTTGGTTTGGTCCTGACCTAATAGGACAGACCCCACTTCTCTATCATCCTGAGCTGCAAGATGGTTTTGTTAGACCTCCCATCTGGATGGAGACCTGGCCTGGTGCAGTCTGAGAAATAGCAGCCCAAATGTTCAGATTTCAGCCTTTATGCAGGGAGAGGCATGCGTTGCTTCTTTGCTGTCCTTTATTCTTCATACATGCTTCTCTTTTTCTGTAACACGTTTCCACAGCTTTATGGAGCTTCTCCACTGTTGTTTGCTGTAAGTCCACAGCAGCATAGGCAGGGAATAGAAGACTTATGAATACAGCAGATGGCAACCAAAAGGGCTGGGGATGGGTAGAGACCACTTAGACACTAATACATGGGATATTTGCTTGTAACAGCTTGCCAAATTGTTCTCCTGTGCAGCCTGAGGTATCTGTACTTGTGTGGTGGATCCTGTGCATCACCTTAGAAGGATGATCGAGCTCTATGACCGTCTGGGGTCACCAGCACTTCCAGGGAATTCACCAGGCTCTCGGCCCACTGGTGCTTGCAGCCTCTGCACTGGCTGCTGACCAGAGGCCTCCAGCGTTGTGTGGATATTCAGATCCAGGTCTGACTTGTGTTTTGGCAGTGGGGGCTAGGCAGTCACACAGTACGAGGCATAAAGGTCACTTGTTTCACTTGGGGAAGCCTCCTTGATATTGTTGTACTCTCCAGCTCAGAACATCTATGTACCTGGTTTATTTCTTTTCTCAGGGGTGGTGAGAGCAGCAAGTCTATGCGAGTATTGTTCTACCCTATCCTCCTTGGAACAGCGTTACTTGTTTTCCTGTTGTAGACTGGTTTGGGCTTCTGGTGTTGTAAGTGCAGGTCCTTTGGCCTTCCTGGCACTCATCAGCAGCATGTTTACACCCCTTTCCCAGCACTGCTGTGGTGCATGTCATCCAGGCAGTCTCTGACCTCCACTCTCTCCTCTGCACTTTATTTCCAGTAGGTTCCTGGTTTGCTGTCACCTTAGGTAAGTCACTCTTCCATCCCCTGCTTTCCCAGCTGTAGAGGGAGAATTGTGCCTCTCTGCAGGGCTGGGAAGCTTTGAGAGCGCCACAAAAGGAGCTAGATACAGACTTGCTCTATTCATTGTGCTTGACAACTCAGTAAATAAAACTTCACTCAATTGCTTGCTCTGTAATTCACACATAAAAGACCTGTCATTCTGCTCTCTCCCACACCGTGCTTTAAATGCAAAGGATGGAGTGAGACCTTCTAGTAAAGCAGCACAATTTCAGCGCAGTGCAGAATGGTCTTTGAGGGTAAGGTATTATCATAAATAACATAATGCACCTGCCTTGGCAGGAAGAGTGGAGTGCACATGGTAGACCTGGCCTTCGTCACGGCCTTCCAGAATTTGACGTGGATCTTGTGACACTTGATAAGCCTTCTGGATCCTCAGAGGGTGAAGGAACTACACTAGCTTTCCAGAGAAGGGCACCAGTTCATGCCAATAGGGAGCTTGGTTTTTCCTCCTTGCATTTGAGATGAATTACTAAATATTCATCATCTTCTTGTATCCAGGTAGTACTGCCCATGTTATTCTTTGAGAAGTGGAGTCAGCAAAATCTGAGGAGCTTGTTGTCAGGGGATCCTGCGTGATATCCCAGGTTGAATTAAGGAAAACTCAGCCTAGAGTTCCTGGTGCTAATGTGACACCTGTCCCTGGAGCCTGTCCCCGGGCCGTCTGGTCAATCAAGAACAGTGGCAATCAAGTCTGAACAGTCAAAAAGGCTTTGAGCTTGTAGCTGTTGAGTGTGCAGTGGCCGGAGGCCAGCGCTCTTGCAGTCTCACCATGTGAAGCTCTGCTTAGGAAGTGATGGTTAGCATGCAGAAGAGATAACATCCCATTACTGTAACCAGCTGTTAGAGTCTTTCTCGTAGAGCTGGAGCTAGACCTGTCTCATCACTGTGCCGGGGGAGGTTGTTGTTTCTGCAGTGTAAGCCTCTTGGGCAAGGGATCTCTCACCTTCTCTCCGTTTTGTCAACGTGCTCTGAACACACGGTTGGTAGCTTGACAACAAAGGGCTTTGGTGGTAAAAACAGCTTCAGATGTTCCCACCTTGCTTTGCAGTTCGCTGCCTCCTCTCCTGTGCCAGCATTGGCATAGTGAGAGGCTGTGCACATCCAGCTCAGAAGTCACCTTACAGAAAGGGGTGAAAACTTCTTGATTCTGTTTTGTCACTGAAGCCCACTGTGAATCACACCATCCGTAGTGACGGTCAGTGGGCAGTGAAAGGTCTCTCTTGGGGCAGACAGCGCTGGGTGGGCTCTGGGTGCAGAAGATGGTGGATGGTAGCTATGGTCCCATTCCAGAGATGTTCGTCCCAGCCTGGCAGTGCTGGCATTCCAGTGCCGGGCCTTGAGACAGGGGAAGAACTGTGACTCTTCTTTAGGTGGCTGGTGTGGAGGACTGGTTGGCGTGTCTCTAGTGGTGTCAGTAGCCCTGCAAACACCTCTGGAGAAGCACGTGAGGAATAGAGGAGTGAATCAGAATGGCTCTTGCTTATCAGGATGATGGCAAGCCAAGCAGCGTTTCTCACTGCAGAGCTGTCCCGTGGAGACATGGGAGAGCTTTCAGCAGTGTGTTGGGTTGTGTGTTGCCACTGTTAGATCATTGCTCGTTCTCCCTGGGTTTCCTGCAGAAAATAAGACCGTGTGCTGGGCTGAAAGCCAGCGTTGCCTAGGCCCTGCATTTAGTGAGCTAGCCTTTGCCAGGCTGCCGCACCCCACTGTACTCCTCTGACGCCCACTGTTCCCAGGCAGGTCAGTATGGATCCAGTCAGACCTTGCCTGTCTGCGCTGCTTTCCCTTCCTTGTGCTCACCTTCTTGCTTTGACCGTTCCCTTCCCTTTTTGTATCCCCACTGAATGGCTGCCAGCCCCTGCCAGCTCTGCCTCTTAGAGCTGCCACTTGTGATTCCTGAAAGGCAGACAAGCGTGAATGACTGAGAGCCTAGCAGAGAGCAGTCATTTGTTACAGCAAGTTTTCTTTTTCCCCCCTCTCTTCAGATACAGCACAAAGAATCCCTCTCTGCAGTCAGAGACGGTTCATTACAAGAGAGGGGTAAGCCAGCAATTCTCCCTGCCTTCCTTCAAGATTGATTTCTCAGACTGGAAAGATGATGAGGTAAGTCTCTTATCAGTGTCCCCCTCTTTCCACAACCCTGTTGTCCCAGAAGCACCGGACTTCATTTACTGCCATGAAGTTATGGCTGGAAAACATCCTCACCCAGCTGCAATGGCATGTTTTGTGGGTATGAGACAAATGGGGCCCCGGGAGGAGCAGGTATGAACACTGTATGGGAACTTGGCAGGTAGATCAGGCAAACAGGGAAAAAACCCAAAGAAGCGGCTTTTGATATCGCTGATCAGCTGGCATCCCAATGTCTGGTGTAGGAGGGAGACGGCAGAGATTGGCACTGGAGCTCTTCCTGGAGGAACCCGCCACTCCTCAGCCTTCCTCTCCCTGCCAGCTGAAGAGCTTGTGGGAACAAATGTCTGTCTTGATCTCTCTGTTTTGGCGGGTTTTTTGGTTTTGGTTTTTTGGATGGTCCTCTAGAACAGTAGTCTCCAAAGTGGGGTGCATGCAAGACAATTCACTGGGGAGCAGGAAGAACCTCAGTAGTATATGTATGTATCTTATAAATAATAAATACACCTATATTTGGAGTACATGCTCAAGAGTTTTTACTGATGGGATGAATAGTCAAAACAGTTTGGAGACCACTGGTCTAGAAGAGTCCTGTTCTGTTTAAGGGCCACATCCTGGATTATTAACTGTAGCAGTACAGTGTTGTGGTGGGATACTCTCCCTTCTGGGGCAGATTCGCACTGGTGCATTAATGCTGAATAAGGGAATGTCTTCCTCATTTTAGTTTAACCTGTAACTGCAAGCAGACAAAGGCTTGGTTTTAATTAAGCTCTGTGGCTTTTACTACATAGCAAGATTTGTGGAGTCCTGTTAATTTTGGTATCTTTGCAAAATCCCAACCCAGGCAGTAACACTCTTGAGCCTTTGAGCTTTGGCCCAAGGGCTTCCCCTGCACATGACGCAGGGCAGGGAGGCCTTGGTCTTTCCCGTGCTCTCTGCAGAATTGCCTTAAGAGATTTCTGATGCAGTGGAGTCTGTCTGTAGCTACTGCTAATATATTTGTTCCTGTGGGCCCTTCTCCCAGGTCAACACTGATACAGCGTTCATTTCCCAACCCAAGCTGGTGTAAGAGTGTTGTGTATGTGAATCTGGTAGATAAATCTACCTATTAAAAAAAAAAAAAAAAGAAAAAAGAGAAAAGAGGAAAAAAAAAGAAAAGAGGGAAAAAAAAGAACGGAAAAAAATAATCTTTCATCTTTCATGTATTTTGAAAAGATTGAATAGCTATTGTCTTGAAGTTACAGTTATAACTATAATCAGTCCCGTGCCTTAACAAATGCCGTGGCGGTTACCAAGAGCCTGCAGAGTCTGGTCTCCTGATGTCTTGGCTTTTCTGCCAATATATGATTTCACAAGTTCAGCCTACAAAAGCCTGGAAGAGCTGCTTTTCAATCCCTTCTGTCGTCTGAGAGAGCTGGAAAGTAGGAGCTCAGATCCCTTTCTTCTTAACGAATCCAGAAGCTTAATTTTCACTTTTGTTCCTGCTGGCAAGGTTTTAACTCGACTACTAAAGTCATGTCCCTTTGACAGCTTAAAGGGAGAGATGCTGCGGAAAAGTAAGCTTCTAGCTCCCTTTGCTTGATTCTGCTACATCTTCTGTCTCCGCTTTTTTCATTGGTGTTACCGGCAGCTCTAGTCATGGAGAAAATGTGGAACAAGCACTGTGATTCGGAAGTTTCTTCTCCCATTTTGGCTCTGTGTACATATCAGTCCTTGTCCTCTCAAGTCCAGTAAAATGCATACGGCCAAGTCTTCTTAGTTGGCCACTGAAATGCAGCACTTTTATCTGAGACAGCTGGCTGAGTGTTATCACTCAGCTGTGTATGATCGCATGCTTCAGACGGCTTTCCAGCTTTGTTCCTGGTGTCGTCCAAAAACCCCAGATTTACTTCATATTTTTGCTCAGTGTAATACTCGCATATGATGTAGTTGTTGGCTGGCCAACAGAAGGGAAAATAACGTTATGTTGGGTTGTTATGTGGGAAGCTTTATAAAAGTTTACTTTGTAATACTCTGGTTTGCTTGCAAGTTATAGTGTATGGCTTATGTTGAGACAGTTGTTTTCAGGTCCCTAAAAACGAATGTGAAATGGACCCTTAAAGAAGCCTTTTGTTTGAGAACGCAAAAGTTTATATTGTAAAGCAACCACAATTCTGTGATGTGACTTTCCCTGTAAACGAAGAAGCGGTAACTGTTGTTGTACAGTAATAAATCAGAGCAGGAAGCGAAGCAAAACCATAAGCTTCTTTCAGCAATTTTAATCAATTGTCCTCTATGAATTTTCCCTCTGTGGCATGCCATAATGTTTCAAAAATGCAAGCTGGAAAATAGTGGCTCAATGAGTCTCTCCTATAACAAATTCTGAGAGGTTAAATGAGATTCTTGTGTTCGATCTTTGCTGTTTTGGAAAAAGAATAGATTCTGGTAGTTTAAAGGAGGAATAAAATGTAAAACCATCATACAGAGGGTGAAAATCGATATCCTTCAGATTTCAAGACTCGCTAGGTCAAATCGCAGGGTCTTCCAGCACATGCTTTCTGTTTGGAATCAAGTATGCATGTTTGAATGGGGGGGTGTGTGTGTGTGTGTGTGCGCAAAGCTTCTAGAAAGCGCTGCAGGAGCTGAGTGGCCCTAAAGGCATGCAGCCTGCATGAGGAGCGTGTGGCTATGGACAGCAGAGCAGCAAGACTTGCAATTCCCTCTTCCCCCTGCACCTCCCATGGAAGGTTGGTGAGCTGCTGCAGTCCGAAGCACGTGCTTGCAGCTCTTAGCAGAGGTGCAGCCCTGTGGCTAGTGGGCTATGGCACACTTGGCTGGTGGGTGCCAGGGTATATCGTCTCCCAGTGTACAGTTATCATTCATTTCAGGATGAACATTTAGGTTGTAATTCGTTTGAGGAGGAACCGTTTTCAACTCTTGTTATGGCTCATGGCGAGGGTCACCTTCCCTCCAGTCTGGGTGTTCCGGGTTGCCATTTGTGCCGATGCCAAAGGCTGTCTTGATATTTTATCTTTTGAGGGGATGGCTGGACAAATTCACGCTGCAAATGATGTTGGGGCTGTGGGAAAATGAGGGAAGCCCCGAAGCGCTACCTGAACGGTGCTGCGGCACATTGAATTGGGTCTCAGTCTTCACTGGAAAACTGAAAACAAACGATCTGGAGGATGATGGTGAAATGACATCTTTTTCTCTCTTGGCAAGAGATGAGACAAAAAAACCCAAGTCAGTAATTAACAAAAACCGCCAGAAATCCAGTCTCTGAGCCACTTCCGTTCCTGGCATAGGACAGTGTTTGTAAGGTTGCGTTTTTCTTGTGTTTGTAAGATGACGTGGAGCTTTTGAAGTGCTTTAATGAAGTGCAGGGCAAAGGAAGAAATTGAGTCTGTTTTCCTTGCACTCAAGCGAGATCTTAAATTTTCACTCTCACCAATTAGAAGGTCAAGGACCTGAATTTCATAACATGCCAAGAGATGGAAATCAGTCTGGTGTTTCCTTAAAGTGTTGTGTGAGCTTGAAGTTTTACAGATTTTTCTCTATGCTGTCAAGAACTTCATACAGGAGGCAGGGTTTCTTTTGTGGTCTAGGGAGCATAAGGTGTACTGCTGTGCTATAACCAGCATATCCTACCGTATGCAAGCAAAACTATGGTACTAGACATATTTTGAGAAATTTGTCCTACTACAAATCATTCAGGAGACTTTTAGGATATCTGAATTAGTGAGAATTAAATACCAGAAAAAATTCAAATGGAGATCCTTTGCTTTGCTAGCCATGGCTGGCATTTAGTGCCATGTCAGTCTATGTATGTTGTAGTTATTCTGGTTGACCCCCTTTGAAACTCGGTGCCTGAATTTTAAATCGTCGTGCTCTGTCGTGTCCTTTTGGGACCAGGGATGGAGGCCAATCAGAAGGGGCCTTCATTCCTCTGATGTTAATGCTATCTCAAGCATTTGTTGTCTTCAGGCAAGCCTGGTGTGAATTGTCTAACATCATCTCGTTTCTTCTTCTCAGCTGAACTTTGACTTGGATCGTGGTGTGTTCCCTGTGGTCATCCGAGCGGTGGTGGATGAAGGGGATGGTAAGCATGGTGATGTGTTCCCTTGGTGGTCTTCTAGCTCTCTCTGAGGTTATGTGACTCCTTCAGGACTGGCCTCCTTCTGCAACGATGAAAACGTTTTACTTGTAGCAAAGGCTCGGGGAGCCTTTCCAGAATACAAATATTTCAGGAGTTCACCTCAACTTCCCTGTATTAAAAGGGCCCAGCTAACGACAGGTCCTTACATAAAAACATGCTTTTAAAAATAGCCTCCATTTTTTACAGGAAAAATGGTGAGCTATTTGGTGTTGGAATAGCGCTTAGGAGAACTCCTGGCTCTGCTACCAATGCCAGGCACAAATTGGAGCAAGTTACTTCCTCTCTCCTTGGGTTTTGTGTTTGCAGTTTGTAAGGCAAGGAGGAAGTTGGTCTTTTCCCCCTCTCTGAGGGGTAAATTGTGTTCATAAAAACTATATCTAACTGTAGGGTGGGCCTTCCCCTAGGAATAGTCAGAGAAAAAGAGATGGCTTTAAAATGCTCAGGGCACTGTTCAACCAAATACAGCTTCATTCAGCAGTTTAAAATTCTCCTGCTTTTTCGGAAGGGTGCTGAATGGTTACAATAAAAGAGCATAACCTTCAATGAGAAATTATATTGTTGATTATTTTTAAAGCATGTTGCCATTTTGGAGAGGGAAGTCCAGTAAATGTTTAGATTGTTACTCACCTTGCACAGTATTTTCCTTAGGGCGTGTGTGCTTTTGGGTTCCGTGTATTCACACTCATTCCGAGTGTCAGCAATGAAAAGGGTACAAGGAAGTCACGTTTTTCTCTATAATTGGGGGTGTTGTGGTCAGCAGGACCAGCATTTCACTTGTGCTTTTTGTAACATTTTGTACAAAATTTTAAGAATGATTAGAAAGGAAAAAAATCCATCGTCGATTGCATTGTTTAGTGCAGTCACTTGCTCAGCTTCTTATGTTGTAGATGTGAAAGTGCCTAGAAACTCCTTGCGTTATTTTACAGTCCTCCAAGCAGAGTGAACTAGAGCTGGATGTGAAGTGTGACTAACAAAGCACAGTGCAACATAAAGGAAATTACTTTTAAAGCGCGCCTATTTTTAGTGATTTCAGGCACTGTTAGTAAAAATGACATAGATGTATATTTCTTGACCATAAATATAAACCACCTTCCTCTGTTTATGGAGCTTTTGGCAAGGTATTTGTACTTTCTAATGTTGGACACGCCTAGAAGGATCAAAAATAGAACAGGAGGCAGCATGGGAAGCATACACTTATGCGCATACCATGCCCAGTCTTAGCCAATAGTATATTGTCATCTATTTTAACAACCTGGAAAGGCAATAGCTTTTAAATCCTCTCCTGGAAAGAATATCGTCACAAAAATACGTGACACTTGAGTGAGATTTGAGGAAATTGTTGTGTATTTTGGTTCTTTTTTAACTGATGGGACTGGAAGGAGCTGGCCTTGTGTGTTTGGAGCACCTGGAAAATTACAGCTGGCCTGTAACTGCTTGTATTAAATAAAATTGAATGGCAGATTAAAATAGCAGCCAGCAAGATGTTGGTTTGGACTGAGTTCTGCCAAGAGATGTTTGCACGCCTTGAAGATTGTGAGCTTGTAATGTTAGCCCTCTCCCATTCCTGCCAGTGGGATAGCTCTCAGGGAAAGGTATGGAAACCCTTTGGAGGAGGGAAGGTGCCGCACAGAACGGGTCACACATCTCCAGCCACACACGCCACTTGAATGCCACGGAGGATATGAAGGGAAGTGATGCCTGTTCTCTCTTCCTTGGCTATTCAAACTGCGAGGAGAGGACCCGAGTTGCATTTACTCATTGAGCTAGAACAGCCTTGCTTTTGGCTGGCAGTGGGGGGAGCAAGCAGATGAATTCCCAGTTTCAGCTCTTTTCTGCATGTTGTTACGTTCCTGATTGCACCCAAATTGCCACGACCAATCTTGGTTACCCAGAAGATCTGCAGGCATGGACTCTCTTCTCCCACATACTGCTGTGTCCAAACGTGATCTTTGTGCAGTAGTTCGGTGAATGGTTCCTCTTGTGGTCTCTGCTGTCATGGGGGCCCAAAGGAAGCTGTTGAGCTCCTCTCCTTTTTAGACAACACAGGAGTTGCTTCCTTCAGCTGTTAACTTTCTGGCACAGAGCTGACAGTGGTGTCTGCCAGCTCTTCTGCATGTGCTGAGCACAGCCCGGGCACTCGTCGGTCCAGGCAGGGCGAGGCAGTTACATGCCTTCCCTTCCCTCAGTGACTCCTCCACGATCTCTGTCTCCCATTTCCATATGATGAGTCTGAACATAATTAAGCAGAAGGGTCTGACCAGTTGGAGCTGAACAGAACCTTAGAGTCTTGAGCCAGAGAGACTGGGATTGTACCTCGGCTTCCTCTATTCTGTATTTGCTGAGAGAGCCATGAATGCAATACAGAAACCTCTGATAGCCCCTTCTCAGTTGCTGTTGGATCCAGAGGATCAATGCCTCTGGATTAAGAGGGAAGCCTCGAAGTTGGAAGATGTGATGGGTTTGGGGAAAAAAATCAGAGAACTGCCCAGAGATGTTTCAGTGTCCAAAATTGGTATGAGAAATAAATGTTTTGTAAGCATGTTGGATTAGAGCTAAATAAAGTGAGAAGTACCAGGGCTGGAAGTGTGCTGCCAACTGCTGTTACACAGGATGGATTTATTAATCTCTGCGATAAACTCAGGTAATTAAAAACAGGAATTTGAGGGGAGAGCAGAATCCCACTGAGCTCTTTGCTTTCAGAGGTTGGAAAGGGAAAGTAAAACAAAGTGGGATAGTTTGGAGCACCCAAGATAACGAAGGCATATCTGAGTAGGGCCCACCACAGAGCCCAGCAGGGTTTTGTTCTTGCTCTACAGGAGTGTGAGATGAACCAACCTGACAACAAGATAAGGGAAGTTTTAAATTGCAAGAGGAGATGAAAATAGAACAGATGGTGGTTTAGAAATTGTAAACGGACTAAAATTCAGCTTGTGGTAGTTCTATGCTTGTGCTGTTTTCAGGGCTTAACCAGGACTGCTCTTTCTCTTTTTTCAGTAGTAGTTGAGGTGACGGGTCATGCCCATGTTCTTCTGGCTGCATTTGAAAAGGTAAATGAATTCTTTTTTCCCCCTCTGTCCCTTTCCTTGCGTATGTAAACATTTCCATGGGTCATTAGTATAACATTTAGCACAGTGGAGTCCTGGCCCATGACTGGGGTTTCCGAGTGCTATTGTAGTACAAATAATTGCTTGCGGCAGCTCCTGTGCAGCCTGTAATTATCATTTGTACCTGAGCTTGTCACTCAGCTAATTGTAGCTGGTGTTTCCTGTGTGTGGGGAGAGCGTGTGCCTCAGTGGCTGTGATGTTTGAGGGTGGAAGATGGTGACCATGGCTGCTACCATGCCGTTTTCCAGGGGCTCATGATCTCTTTGCAGAACTGGATCTGCTACGTCCAGACCCTGTTGCACCATTGTTTGGCCTTAGTTTACCCATAGCACCAAGCCCTTTTAAAGAATTGGGATACATCCTGCATAAAGACTTTGAGCTCCACTACTTTTCAGTGGCACGTTTGATGTCGCTGACTGCTGCCTACAACGGTAAGGCTAAGCCAAGCTGTATGTACAAGTCTGGATACCAAAATCTCTTCCCATGATAATTGGACCCTGAAAACAGTTGCAAGTTCCATAACGGCATCGTACTGTGTCTGGTTGTGGTAATACTGCAGACGCATATCCTGGGCAAGTGATACTTGTAGTGACATGCTAAGATGAGGCAAGAGATGCTGGAGCAGAGCTGGGCATGTAGAAGGGAGCAGCATCAATGCTGTGCTGTTAGAAATTCCACACTTTCAGGCTGGCATGTGGACTGACTGCTGTTTCTCAATCTGTTTGGTTCCTGCCATATCCCTGAGCAAGTTGACAGGTCTTATTCTGTTCCTCCTGGGTGGATAATATGGATGGTGACAAGCTGAGTCAGAGGGCATGGGAAGCACAGTCAGTCCTAAGGAAGCCCTGTGCTCTAAGCGTTCTAGGTTGCTTTTTTCTTCTTTTTTTTGACTTAGTATGTAAAGAAAATTAGTTTTCACGTGTTAAAAAGGCTGCTCTGAGCACTGGCTCTGTAGGTGGGTCTACGCCTGGCAATTAGAGATCTGTCAGAAATGAGATGGGCAGCTGCAGCACCCCTGGGACTCGGGCAGGGATGTTATTCTAGCTTCTTCCTCCAACTGATCTAGAAAAACAAAATGCACTGGAATCCCTCAGTCATCGTTCAGCAGTGCCTTGGAGAGGACAGTGTGGGCAGTGGGTCCTTGGGGAAGGCTGTAGTGTTTGGAGTCACATTGTAGATGAAGACTCCCTAGCCTTGCAAAACGAATGATCAAACATTTTTGAGGAGAGTAAAATAGATGAGACCACCAACGTCCTGAGTGTTACAGCCTGAAGTATTCCATGCGTGTTTGCCTTCCTCATCTGCAAGACTCGCCTGTGCTCCCCTGGCTATTGCCTTCATAGCTTTTTGGTTGTAGCTAGGTTCAGATTAGGCTTTGGATCGGATCTGATGATGCAAGTGTGATTTTTACTTACAAAGCAGTGTGCCTAGTTGCTGTTTTCCAAGTATCCAAACATAGTGCTGTTGCAGTAAGCCCAGCCTCTGTGGTCAGGGAGTAAAGTCCTCGCTTGGACCTGGATTTGTCCCAGCTTCCTGTTCTAGCATCCTGTGGCCAGCGCTTGATAATAGCACCTTCTAGAAAGTATTGGGAACTTATTAGTGTGAGGGCAGAAGCGAAGCTTTGGAAATGTCTGTGTCATGAAACTGGAAAGTGGCTTGAACTGCTCCAGCTTTGGAAGGAGGATTTCAAGGATTATAGCTAAATTCCATGTACTGTGCAGAACCTCTGAGCAATCTGGATGCACAAAGGTAATGGCAACATCCCCTTAGTGTTCAGGGAGCTGAACAAGGTGTGCATCAAGTCTGAACCAACTAAAGTGAGTCAGGCCATTCCATCAGTGCTGGATTATGTCCCGTGTCCAGGTCTGAGCTCAAGGATTGAAAGTGCTTCCCTTCTTTTTCTAAGTCCATGAGTGCTGTGAGAGGGAGATGTTGTCTGTGGGGCCACTTCTTAGTTCTCATCTTGCCATGAATGCTTAAAACAAGATCAAAATCTTTCTTTTAATAAAAAGTCACAGGGCAAAGTGCTTGTTGAGTTCTTTCTCCTCCCTGTTTGGTTAAAATATGTTCCTCATCCTTAGAATAATTGCAGCTTTTGAAGTGTAGATCCATAAACTAGAGGAGGTCCTTGCTAATAAGCATCGCTGCTGATCACCAGAGCATGCTCAGAGGACAGACAGACCAGCAGGCCTTGGTACCTTGCTATTTATATGTATCTTTAAGATCAGAATAGTAACCTTGATGCTCTGTGTAGTCTGACCTTGCAGCTCTTCCAAAAGCAGAAACTTGGCGCGTTGTGTTTGCCTGGAAAACAGGCCTGTTTTGTCTTTTGGTGCAATGTTGTTGTCCCTTCCTTCCGAAACTCCTTCAGAAACAGATGCACGTCTGCAGCTGTTCACAGCAGCAGGGCCTGCTGGAGTTTCCCCTAAACCTCCTTTCCTGCTTTCTAGACTCTGGCAGAGGAGTTGGTTTGGTTCAGTTTAGTTGGCCCTTGCGAATGATGGAGAAAATAGAAAGAGCACGCAGAACTGTTCCAGCTGTGCCTGCCACCACTGAGCAAATTAAAGGCTCGAGGTGGTCATTGCAGCTCTGAAGACAGCAATGTGGAGCACGCGTGACTTGTTTCTGACTCCATCCAGTGGACAAGCCTTGTTCACAGCCTCCTGCCAGCCCCCTGCTCTCTTGGGGCTCTGGCCTCAAGAATGGCTCTGTAACTAGATGTTAATTAGGCTTGTTAGCAAATATCCCCTGCCAAGTCTTGCTGGACTTGCTGAAGAAGTGTTTGCACCCAACTGGACTGCTTGCAGCCTGAAAGCATCCAGTGTGCTGGTGGATTTTTGTGTACGCTCTGACCCGCTTCAGCCAGCTGTAACTTAAGCCAAGTCCGTCTAGCTCTGCACTGGAGCAGACAAGGAGCACTCCGATGGCCTGTTCCACTAACTCTCCAGGGAACGATTGCCATTTGGGTTGTCCCAGTTATTCATATGCCACCCTCCCCTTAGGTAGCAGACACCAACTCTGATCATGAGTCTGTTGTAATTTGTACACTTCAGCTATTTAATAAATGTCCTTTTTTTCCTGCTAGCACGTTGATGGCAGTTTTTCCGTGAAGCCATTAAAGCAGAAGCAGATCGTAAGTACCTGTTTCCTATCTACTGCTTGGTTAAAGACATTTGCTAGTGTTCCACAGGTGACTGACTGTACCCAGTGGGAAACTTCAACGTTAGTTCACTGAGAGCCTGAGATCTCACCTTCTTAGCTCAGATAGCAGTGACCTGCTGGCAACCCTTAACGTTGGGTGGGTTGTTGCACAGCCAGATGTGTGTTGGGGGGACAAATATGGCAGCATGGGGCTGGCAGAACAATAGTGACAGTCTCTCTGTGCTCCTCTGGGAGGCAGGCACTATGTAT